AAAAAAATAAAAAATAATTAATAATAATAATAATAATAATAATAATAATAATAATAATAATAATAAATAATAATAATAATAATAATAATAATAATAATAATAATAATAATAATAATAATAATAATAATAATTTATTATGATAAAAAATCTGTCAAAAAATTTTATTTCACAAATTCAACCATAAAAAAAATTTATTTCTCACTTGAAATGCTAAATTAAATTAAGCAGTATATTAGTATTATGAAATAATATAGTTTATATGCAAACATATCTCAATCAATAAAATTATCTGATTTTGTCAAAATTGTCATTCATTATCTATGTGTTACAAGAAAATACACTGTTTAAAATTTTATCATCAATTTATTTATTTATATGCGTGTGTACTTTTGTTTATTTGCTATTTACAGTACACATTTTAGATGATGGTACGTGTCATACACATCCATCCATATATGATATATATTTTTTCGCGTATTTATTTATGTTTGCGCGTAATATGTAAAATTTAAAGAGAGCGAGCGAGTGTGTTAAAAAAAAAAAAGATTAATTAAAAACAATTGAAGAAGGCGAAGGCGATAAAAATGAAAAAATGTTATTATGATGGTATTACCATTAATATACTTGTATATATAATATATATATATTTTACACACACATCGTACGTTTAGAATATATTTATACATATTAAAAATATTTTTTATAAAGATGGGATTGATTGATTGGATATGTTTTGCCATTCTACCATATAAAGAAATGAATCAATCAAACCAATTAGTCTATAATTGATTGATGGATGGATGGATGGATGAATGGATGAATGGATGAATGGATGAATGGATGAATGAACGAATAAACGAATAAACGAACGAAAGAACGAAAATATATATTTTGAAAAACATTTGAAAAGTTTTTATTATTTTATTATTTATTTCTTTCTTTTGAACAAAACCAACACAAAATAATATAATATATATAATAATATACATGCATCATCAATTAAAGATTCATTGAGCTAGCAATTAATTAATTCAATTAATTGATACAAATAAAATAAACAGATCATCGAGGAGGATTTACAAAATAATAATTTAATTAAGCCCAGACCCCCTTTTATTTCTTTCAAAAATTAAATAAAACTTGTTGAAAACTTGAATTATAAAGAAATAAGTTAAAGAAATTTTTATTTAACTTGGATATTCTCACTTCTTCTTTGCCAATTACAATATTACCAGTTTATCATCAATTACTAATTACCATCATCAACCATCATCGTCAACCCTTAAACTTCTTCACACACACACATACACACATTATAATTGGTTTTCTTTAATTTTTTTAGAAACTATTATAAATCTGGTTTTATCGATTAGAATTTGTCAAAACATATTAATGACTAACTCATATTAATATATCTAGATTTTTCTCGTAAAGATCATGTGGTTTATTTTATTTTTATCTCCCACGCGCTTTCTCTCTCTCTCTTTCTCTCTCTCATTCACACACACACGCTCTCTCTTGAAATTTTTCTTCTTTTTTTTAAATGTTATAAAAAATTGATAGACAATTAACAATGAATTATGGATGACCTGTGTATGTCTGACTGACTGTCAATGATTTGTTACGGAGAATATTGAATAGTAATCATCATTCTACATATAAATGCTATATATATATGGTATAAAAATGTAGTGCGACGAAACAACCCGGTCAGACCTGAGTAATAATAATGAGATAATGGTAATGTGGTAGGTGCCAATGATTACGTAAATTTTACATGAAGGAAGAAGGCATTGATCGAATGTAACCCATTTCATATATATATATATGTGTATGTATATATAATATATATACAAGAAAATGAATACAGTATGTATCTTAGATAGATAAAAAATTTTTATGTAAATATATATAAATAATAAATAATCCAATCTTGTTAATAAGCAAGTTTTCCTATCTTTTTAATTAATTAAAGTTGAATCCAATCAATTGATTTTTTAAAAAAAAAAAATTTTTTTTTTTTTGAATTCATTACTTATTTAACTTGTTAGCTTGTTAAATATTTATCATAATCTATATGCCTATTTATAGGTAAATTAGTAAATATTATAGTTAGCTGTTGTCAGTATTATTAATGGACCGGGTTAATGATGGCGAGTCGGGGAATAAGCTAATCAATCAAAGCTGTAATAATTTTTTGGGCCATATATTTCATTCAATCAATCAATACTAAGCCAACAACGCTTAATTAAATGCCAATTTTAAATATCGTAATAACACGGCTGATTAAACTATATATACAATAAATACCTGAATGCTAATTAAAATTTTTGGTTAGAAAGGCGCGATTATATTTACGAAACATTTTTTTTGCTTGCATACAATAATAATTAATAATCAAGAAAATTATCCGTTTTATTATTATAAATAAATTATATTTCCTAATATATGAAATAAGATATGTTGATGGCGATTATGATGATGTACTTTGCATACTTTACGCATACATACATACACACTGTATGTACGTTTTATGAGAGAAAGAGAAATCACAATTTTTTGTAGTTGATTTGATTTACCAATTCAACAACCAATCAAATTATATACGAGTGATAAAGGTGACAAAGTCGCGTGTTTCTTTTATAAATTATTAATATTTATTTATCAGGTATAAATATTCTTGAAATGGTTGTGGCATTGGCTTTGCAGTTATCGTGAATCAATAAATATATAACAGGTAAAAAAAACAACTGTCAAAAAGTGATTGTGTACATATGATACATGTTGTATCCGTATTTATATTATTATTATGGTAAAAGGGAGGGAGAGAGAAAATTCTTTTATTATTATTATATAGAAAATAATAACATAGTAGTAGCATTTAACGCCTAAAAAAAATAATAACCTTTTATAAAAATTTCCTTTGAGATCTATACATTTTTTTTCGTAATCGCAATTTGCCGGTTTTTCCTTGCTACACAACTTTAAAACAATTTGTAACACTTTTATTTCTAAATTTTGCAAATAAATAACTTATTTTTTATTCTACATGTTTTTTACCCCACCGAAACTTTAACCATTCAAATAAAAAATACAAATAAATATATACAATCAATTTTACTTTAATATAATATATAATATATAATATATATTGTTATTTATGAAATAATTTTTTAGGTTAATTTTTTGCAAAGAAAAAACGATAGTAATAGAGATATATTAATCTTTGTTGTTGTTGTCATTGTTACATATTGATATGTAGAAAGAAGAACAATTATTTTTGAAACACGTAAATAAAAATAAAAATAAAAAAATCAGCAACCATTAAAACTAGCCGAGCGAGATAACTATGAATTGCTATTTTTATTATTGATTTATTATTCTATTACGAATTGCTATATGCTAACGCTGATTAACACCATTACCAATTACTGGAATACGTAATATAAAAAGATTAAACGGCTGCGAAACAAAGACGACGACAAGGACGAAGATAGAAATTTATATAAAGATTTTTAATTTTCACCTCAACGCCATTTTTTATTAATGAAACCAAAAATTACAATTCAATCTAATACTAGTACTAGTGCTAATTAATTCGGTAAAAATATTTTTTGTTTTGTAACCCTCAATTTTTTCCCTTTCTTAAATTATAATAAAAAAATTTTTTTTGTGATTTAAAAAAAAATGAATACAAAATTTATTTTTTGTTATTATTGTTGTTATTGATTTTCCTTATAAGAACAAAACAAAATCATTTTATTTTAATTACGTACGCATAATTTATTGCTCGTGTTTGATTAAATAATAAGAAAGACGATGGAAGAAATATTAATTACGTGTGAGGAGGAATTAAAGAAATTAATCGGAGAGAAAGAAAAAGTCTTGAAAATTTTGACCTTCTCCATAATTAAAAACAATTAATCCAAGAGTCACATAGAATTTATCTAATATTATTTATTGCTATTATTGCTAATTGAAAATGTCTAACTACATTTGTACGTGTATGCTACTATTATTCTGATTAGAAAGGAAAATGATATTTGACATTTTGACAAAACAATATAAACAAGTTGTTTTTGATTTGTTTTTCGCACAAAAAAAAAAAAAAAAAAAAACGAATAAATAATAATAAAGATTTATTATTATTGTTGATGTTGATAACTATTACGTGTAAATATAAAATAAATATGTGTTATCTATCTCTGTCTCTTTCTCTCTCGTTTTATTTTTATTATTATGTACCTGCAAATATAAATATAAATATAAATATAAATATAAATGTGACTTTGTTTACCTTTGTCTCTTTTTTATAACGCTCTTACTTCTTTTCGATTTCTTTTAATGCAGTACGAAAAAGCTCTAGAATTTGTAAATTGCAAATAAATTATAGTTAAAGTAATAAATAAGTAAACTATAATTGATTGATTGATTAACTGACTGACTGACTGAACGACTGACTGAACGATCGATGATTTATTTACTATGACATTTTGTAATTCGCGTAAAAAAAAAATGCAACATAAATAATCAATCACATTTACATATATTCTAATAATCATCAGACACTATGATCAGGTGTATGTATAAATAAATTAGGTTAAACTAGCCTTAAAATTTAATTAGGCGGCTAGGCACATTTAGATTTTTTGGTGTAACATTTCTTGTGCCATCAATTCTTATTTTGTTCAGGTGATATGTGTTTATTATTATTTTTTTTTGTTTGTTTATTTTTTTTTTAGATTCTTTAGCTTGTCATAACTGAGTGGTAACTGAGTCAATGTTGTACCTTGATAAAATTGATGATGATATGATATGATATTGTTGATACTTTAAAAGTATCATTAAAATTTTTTCTTTACACAAAAAAAAAATAAATAATCATTTATTTACGCAAAAATTTTTTTATTATTTCCTATAATAACACAACCGCCCGTTATACAAATTTGGAAATTTGAAACGATCTAGTGGACATATTTGGTAAATTTGTGTTTTAAAATAAAAAATTTGGTAAAATATAATCCTGGGACCCCCAAAAGAATTATAATAATTATTTATTGACCAATCAAAATATTTAGCCAGCCCGCCACCATTAATTACTGCTATTTTTTCAGGTGTGTGCTTTCTCTTTCTCCCTCCCTTCCTCCCTCTCTTTCTACTAATAATAACGAATCATTGTAATGATTGTTAGTTAGTTATGTCACGAGTTGGATTCGTGGAATAAAAAACAAATTCACAAAATACACAAGTTTTTTATTACTTATATTTTGTTGTGGTTAGGGTAAAGAAAAAAAGAAAGCAATTGACAAAAGCGGGAGATTAAACAAAGATCTTCTTCATCTTATTAATATCGTTAATTCATCATTGTTATTCGGTGACTAACTAGATTAATATAAATAACAGACAATATATCATTACATTATTATTATTATTATTATTTATTATTATTATATTTTAATTGTTCCTGTAATCTTCCTTTTTTATAAAAATAAAAAAAAAGATAAGTTTAAATCAATTTTTGGTTTTTTTTGTAACAGTTATATAGGGATATTATCAGATTTTTTGTCAAATTTGGAAAACAGTGAAATAAACCAAATAAAAAATAATTAATTCATTGTTCAATTGAAATTGAAATTGAAATTGAGATTGGTGGGTTGTTTGTGTTAACACTTATTTGTATGTGTGTGTGCATTATGTATGTCGGAAATTCGGAATAAATAACTGTATATATATATATATATATATATATATATATATAATACTGATAAAGTACATAGAAAGGAAAAAAAATTTATCTTTATTTTTATTTTATTTATTCAGCCTGGGAAAAAAACTAAAATAATAATGGAATGGAATGGAATGGAATAGAATGTAATGTAATTAATTATATACATCTGTGTAATTAAAGAGTTCTGTTATTTGTTATTTGTTATTTGTTATTTGTTATTTGTTATATATTTATATATATATATATATATATATAATAAACAAATTTTGAGAATCTTCTTTGGCGTTCAAAATACGACGACGGCGGCTTTTATTTTTATTATTATTATTTATTTTTATTATATAATTTTATCATTATTTTGATGATGATTTTTAAATTTAGTAAATATTATATGTTATTTCGCTCTTTCTCTTAATCTTCCTCCAACATAATTGTCATCGTCATTTAGAAAATCGAACCGAAACACAAAAACAAAAAATATAACAATGACAAATAATGACGGTGATAGTAATTAATGAAGCAAAACATTAAAATATTATTGATGCTGCCGCCTATTACTTAATAATAAAATAATATTTGGCTAATTAATTAACTTAACTAATTATATCCTATTGCTTGGTTTGCATTGGTTTCTCAAATCTCACATATTTCCTTTACGTACGTTATAAAAATCACGCCATTATCATTCATTTTCACCTTCATTCATCCTTCATCATCTTCATTCATCCATCATCGTCACTATCATCATCATTACTCACACCATTATTCCTCTGTTCCTTGACACCTCTTGTCAAAAAATAGTATATAAAAACAAATATGTATGCACAATGTAATGTATGTGCATCTAATGCTAATATAGTTAAATATATATTCTTTTTTATATATTCAAAAAAAAATTTGCAATGATTTATCCTATATAAATAATAAAAAACCAGTCTAATACAGGACATCGTTTGACATTCATTATATTTTAAAGAAAGTTAAAAAAAATTAGGAGATAAAATAAAATTTGATTTTTTTTTTTTTTTACATACAAAAAATTTAAATTTTGCTTTGTTTATTTATTTTTACACAAAATATAAAAATTTGAATAATAAAATAAAATAATTTTTCCAGGTTTTAGAAGTAGCGATTGGCTTACGGTTAAATAAAGTTTTTTTTTATTTATATCTATATGACGAAATCTTATTTAAATTAGAAAACCTATTTGCTAAGTCTAATAAATAATTAGGGAAACTAATACTATAATTAAACGAAACTAGGAAAATTCGATTCATCATCATCATAATATTTACTGGTAGGCGCACATTCATATATGTGTGTGTATGCGTATGTGTGTACATTAATATATAGAGATTAGATTTTCATTTATGCTATAGTGATGGTTTATCGGTGAATTGCGTTTTTAAAAAGTCTGTAAACAACTATCCCAATCAATTCATTCATTAATTATACTACACTAATTAATTAATTGATTGATCAATCAATTACAATAATATATATATATATATATATATATATATATTAATTTATTCTACCGCATCACTATTTCTTATCATGCCATTAAGTGCCAATTTTCTTTCGCTAATATCCAGGCCAAAAAAAAATTGAAAAATTTCATGCAATTGCAATTATTCAAAATAAAATAAAATTGTAGTAGGTTAATAATAATAAATTGATTTTTATTTTTTCATGTTGTTATTTATTATTCTTGGTTTTTTTAACGCGTAAGATTTATCAATCGATCGATTGATTTTTATTTTTTTTTGTATTAACCTATTTTTAGTTGTTTAGTCTAGCTTATCAATTCCCACACAAGGGAAATAGGCATCTCACTTCCGATGGTTCGTTAGCTCGTTTGTTAATTAACTACACAAACCAATCGCGTTATTTTTAAAAATGATTATAAATTTCTTTTTTAAATTTTTTATTTTAAAATGTTTTTTATAACAACAAACATACATACATACATACATGTATGTATACGTATATTTTAAACATGAACTTTGTACATTTGTAAAGTAAAGAATAAACAAACATTAACACACGCATATATATATATATATATATACACATATATACACGTATGTCTTATTTATTATATATATTTGTTTATTTTGCAAAAAAAACATTCGCTCCTCCTGACCTTTGTTTCTCTCATTCGTGTTTCACACACTCTCTCTTTCTCTTAATCCTCTATAGTCAATCCCTGGCTTTGTTGTTGTGGAGTTTTTTTTCATCTAATTGATTCACACAGTTCACAATTTTTAATTTTACCCTGCAGTTTCCACATCTAATTAAATTTATTTTTTTTTCCTTTTTTTGCCCCAAGGGTTTCTCAGTGTTTTGTGTTTATTTATCTCGAGGACCCCTAATACTCTTTCTCTCTAATATGTATAAATCTTTCTTTTTCTCTCCATCGATTCTTCGTGATTCTTATTCGTTGATTACCAATTACTCTTGTTGCTTTGATCATTTGACCATTTATTTTTGTTATTCGATCAATTAATCAAAATCAACTCGTTGTTACTCATCATTTTATAGATTACTATTATTGCTATTATTAATATTACTATTACTATTATTATTATATTTATTATATTATTATAATCAGCCAATTTAATCGATCAAACAAAATCAAATCAAATCAAAATCAAATCAAAATCAATGTTACAAGACAGCAAGGTAGTAAAGCAATTAGTAGGGCAAAAAGAAATTTATTTTAATCGTCATCGCTAATTAAATAATTATAATAATTATAATAAATCTCCTCCTTAAAGATCATTCCCTCCTCCACCACACGTACCTCCCCTGCTATAAATAAATAAACTGTATATATATTTATAAACAACTAACTATACAGCTTAAATTATTTTATGGCTATAATTATTATTATAAATTTGATTTTTCTATTTTGGATTACTTATTTTATTTTTACAATAATAATAATTTTAAATAAATAAAAATAAATAACAGTGATAGCAATAATAAATTTCCCCAAAGTTTTTTTTTAAAAAAAAAAACCGTGTTTAAAAAAATTTTTATTTATATGCCACATTTAAAAAAAATTTTTTTATATTACAAGTGTATTAGTATAAAAATAATATATTAGCTAATATTACTTAAAGTAAGTAAACATTATTTATTTATTTATCATTTTGAAATAAAGTTTTTTTTGCAAAGTATTAATTTAAAAAAAAATATAGGATATAAAAAAATTTATTTATAAAAAAAGGCTTCATTCCAAAATTTTCTTTTTTTCTTTAATAAACACACAAATTAAAAAAATTTAAATTTTTTTAATAACGAACGAATTGTAATATAATATAACAACAATCAATAATAATAATAATTTTAATATCTTAATAATTTTAAATAATAATATTTTAATTTTGATTTTATTTTAATTTTTTTAAAAAAAAAAAAGAAAAAACAACAGTTTCTTTTCAAAACAACATCAGAAAAATTTAATGAAAACCTTTTTTATATATTATTATTATTACTAATATAACAATAATAATAATAACTAGCAAATAAAATTATTCTTCTATCTAATCTAATTCTTTGTAAATCTTAAAACTTGCCTTTATTCTTTATATATATATATATAATCATTATTATATATATATACGCAACTCCACAACAACTACAACAACACTCTGTATAAATCACCTTTTTTCGGGAAATAAATTCTCCTGAGTTTTTTTAAAACAAACCTATTTTTTTTATACATAACTTCTGTAAATATTTAATCTCTCTTAAATTTCTTTAAAAGTAAAGAAATAATAACAAACAACGCTTTTATTATTTATAATATATAATATAATAATATATATATATATATTATAAATTTCAAATTCACTTTTTATATAAAAAGAGTTTCAATTTCCCAACTTTTTCATTGTCAAAAAAAAAAAATCTTTTTTTTAAATAAAAAAAACAGAAATTATTATTTCCTTTTAATAAATAATAATTTAATTTATTATTATAATAATTTATAATATAATAACATTAATATCATCAACGTTTCCAACAACTAAATAATATAATAATGGAACAACCTTCAGTCACCTCATCCGCCACTCGATCAGTTGACTATTTAGGTCAATCTCATCAATGGTCTGACACTGATGTTCTTTATTCTTACAAAGAAATTAGTAGTCAACTTAATGCTTGTGCTCGTAAATGTCGTGATGAAAAAGAAAAAGAACGTGAACAACGGGAAAAATTATTATCATCATCTTCATCACCACGAACTAAAAATTCATACATGAGACATAAAAGATCCACAACAATATCATTACCAATTATTCATACTAATGATGATAATAACAAGGCTAATGATGATAATATTATTAAAAATATCACAGGAAATATCAGCAAACAATTACAACGACGAAAAGAATTATCAGCATTAAAAGCCGACGAGAAACGTTTAGTTCGAATGAAAAATGCTTTATGGAGACGTATGGGTCCTACTCTTGGTGTAGTTGCTAAAGGAAATAAGCTAGTGTCTCCAAGAACCTTGAAATGGTAAGTTGTTCTGATCAGGTTATTTAGAAGATAGCTTAGGTTTATAGATCCCTTTTTTTTTCCATCATCCCTTTAATTAAAATTTTTTTGTGAAAAAAAAAATTTATCAATCTTTGTTTACAGTTACACAATATTAAATTTTTTTTAAGTAAATGGAATTAGATTTAAGTCATAGCATAATATATATATATTTTAATTTTAATTTTAATTTTTTTAATTAATTAATTAATTAAAGTGTGTGTACGCGTGTAACCAAACTTTAATTTTCTTGGGGCTTAAAGTTTTATATTTTTTGGGGGGCGAAGAGATAGTTAGTTAGTGGAGAAAGTTATTATTACCAAATTTGACACATATTTACCCTCCTTTCCTCCCTCAAACACAATTAATTATTCGCTCATTTTAAAAAACATCATTTTTATTTATTAATGCAAAAACAAAAAATTGACATTTTGTTGATCGTTTCACAACAAATAATTTTGTAATGAATGAATGGTGATGAATGAACGGAATACGAAAAAAAAAGACACAATAACAACAATAAATAGCATTGACACATTTATGACGACTTAAATAGTATATCCGAATTAATTTAGATTTTGATCAGACAATTTGACAATTTGGGCGGGAACTCCCACTTTTTTATTCTGGGCGGGTCATTCACTCCAATGGATTTAATGCACACAAAATACAACACCAATTAAATCACTTTTATTGTTACACACGCGCATATACCAAAATAGAATAATTAGAATTAGAAATAATTAGTCACTATTCCCCGCCCCTTTCCTTTTTTTATACTATTATTATTTACTTTTTTGTCAAACAAACAGTCCCACCCTTTATTTCCATTTTTAAATTTCTTGTTTCCACTTTTCCTATTTTTAAAACCATTCGACCATTCCATTACCCTCTCTCGCTTTTTACATATATTAATACATATATATATATATATATATACATATATGGCATAATTAAAACATTCAATCATTTAATTAACTATATTCATTTATCATTTATTTTATTTTTTTTTACAATTTTAGGCAAAAGGAGTGTGATATACTTTGGTTATTTGGTCCGCTTTATCAACCTGATAGCGATCCATTCATGGATGACGATGACGACGAAACATTGGTTGGTAGTCCACCAGCTACTTGTTGTCCACCTACTCCAACTTATGATGGCTTCACAAAATCCATCAACGTTAAATCATCATCATCATCATCATCCAATAGTGCCTCTTCTAGTGGTAGCAGTAGCCTTTCTTCATCTCCACCTTCATCTGCCTTTGCATCTCCTCCTTTATCACCAACTACCACCAACATCAATTCCATTCCTAATTCACCAACTGCTTACTTGAAACCAGTTCTTAAAAAACCAGTTGAACACGATCCATTAAAAGATCTGATCTCTTATGCTTGTGAATTAATGTTGCTCAATAACAAAAATGATAAGACTGCTATTGATAATAAATTTTACGAAAAGATTTTCAACAATCGTAATTATGGCCATGGCAGTAAAGCTTATTATTATAATAGTAATGATAAATTGTCATCACCACCCGAGTATTATCATCAGCAGGAACAACAAAAACCAAAAAAGAAAAAATCTATTAGATTTAGTCGTAATTTGGAGCAAGTTCACTACACTCCTACTCATTATTCTATCAGACCACCTCCTGCAAGACGTCGGATGAGCAACCCTTTCTTCATGAAAATGGAAGAAGAATTATACAACAACAACAACAACAACAATAATAATTATTCTAATCATAGTAATCAAACTGCCGCTATTAATATTGTCAACAACAACAACAATGATAATAGCAAAGTTAACGCTAATGGCAACGATTATCATCAAATATTCGCTCGGGCTAAAGAACAAGTTAAATCAACTGGTAAACTTCAATTATTTGGTGAAGATGGTTCTTTGTTAGTTAATAATAACAATGAAGATGATGATGATGAATTCATCATGCCAGTCTTATCTTCTTCTCCTACTGCAACCACCACCACCACCAAAAATCAACCAAAACCAGTAGCAACAGCTCAACAAAAAAAATCAGTTTCCACCAACTCTAGTAAAAGTCGTAACAATAAAAATGCTACGGTGCAACAAATTAATAATAGAAAACTCAATAAACATCATCGTGGTGTAACAACAAACCACGTGGTGGAACATTCTGAAACACTAGATGATTCAGGAGTTGTGAAACGATGTGTTGATGTTGCGTCCAATGTAAAAGATGTGGTCAGTTGGTGCGGTTCCATGTTATGGAACAGTACCGTTTTTTAATTTTTAATTATTTATTTTTAATAAATTTATTTTATATTTTATTTTTTTATTTATTTTACTATTATTTATTATATTTTTTCCACAATGGGAAAAATAGAAATAAATAAATAGTAAAACAAATAATTAAATTAAAATTAAAATTAAATTAAAAATAAATAAATAAATAATAATTAATTAAATAAAATAATACGCACAACACCACACACCAACACCATCGTCACCCCCACCATAATAATCGTAATAATATCTATCAACACTAATTTGTCATCAATAAAAAAAACCAAAAATAACTCCACATCATACATACATACATACATACAACTCATACATTACATACACAAATATAATTATAGTAACTATAATTAATTATATTTGACCAATCTTGGTAAACAAAAAACTTCTCCAACTCCTATATAATTCCTACCTTTTTTCCTTCCTTTGACTTAACAAAAAAAAAAAACAAAAAAATTTTTTTGAACATTTTATTTTTTATTATATTTTTTATTTTTTATATATAATATATATTTATATATATATTATTTATTATAATGAAATTTATTCAAATAATGGACAATTGTCAAGTTATTATTAGGGATTCCAGGATGTTAATTAATTTTCACTTTGGTTAAATTTAAAAAAAAATTTTTATATTTTTTTTTAATTTACAACCTTCTTCCCACACATCATCTCACAAAACTACTACACTACTAAATATATAAACAAAAGTATGAAGTAGTAGCACGTCACTACATTAGTGCCAATGATAATTAATGACTTTGAGAAAAAGTTTTTTTTTAGAAAGAAAGAACTAAATTTCTCTCAACAACATAACGAATTATAACGTCACGACCTTTCACTTCCAAGTCTTTTCACTTTGTGTTTGTTTTTTCATTGAAAGTTTATTACCAACAACAACAGCAACAACAACAACAACAACAACAACAACTACAACAATTTTCGAGTATACCCTATAAATTATATAAAAACTAGCTAAAAATTTATTCGGTTTGTAATAACAACAACGGTCAATATATTCGATAATGAAAAATTATCTCGAAGATAATATAACAAAACATCATATCATTTTAATGAATATCATTATATCATACATTATATATAATTTATGATATACATTAAAAAAAAAACTCCTTTATATCATGTTATATATAATATATGATATATCACTTCAAAACCATATTCCTCAATCACCACGCCATAAATATATCACTCCACACCATAACACCATCAATATATGCAATAACAACAACAACCACTTCACACCTCTCTCGCTTCACCAATATATAAAAAGTTAAAAGCGTTAGTGAAAAATAATTTTAAAAAAGTTTCACACGCGCATTCACGCACACACAGTACATGACAGTTTAAGTTTTTTAACCAATTTGTTTACACATCAAACAAGTGGAAAGCGACACTCCAAGACGAATTAGAGATTATTGAAGCTGGTCACTGTCAAGGAGGCGATTCCTAAGGAGCAATCGACCGCAGGTCACTGCCAATGAGTCCAAGCCTAAGTACTACTGGAAAATTGCGTTCTCTATTAATTATATATATAATATAATACTATACACTACAAAAAAA